ACGATAAGGATGATTTTAGATCGCAGTCAGGATTTGTGTTTTGCCTCAATGGCGGAGCAGTGAGCTGGAAGAGTTCTAAACAAGACACGGTGGCTGATTCTACAACAGAAGTTGAGTACATTGCTGCTTCAGAAGCAGCAAAAGAAGCAGTATGAATAAGGAAATTCAGTATTGAGCTCGGTGTCGTTCCTAGTATTGTTGGACCAATGGACTTATATTGTGATAACAATGGAGCCATTGCACAAGCCAAGGAACCTAGATCACACCAGAAATCAAAGCATGTACTCAGGCGATATCATCTCATTCGAGAGATAGTCAATTGAGATGACGTCAAGATATGTAAAGTACCAACAGATGCAAATGTGGCTGACCCGCTCACCAAGCCACTACCACAAGCAAAGCATGAACGTCATACTAGTGCATTAGGCATTCGTTTTGTTCACGATTGGTCCTAGTGCAAGTGGGAAACTGTTGGAAGTATGTCCTAGGACAATCATACTTTATGATTTATCAATGAATATTTAATGCTCATTAATTAATAAAGTCACAAACTCATTTTATGTTAATTATTATTGTGAGTTTTCTTTATTAATATTTAGTCCCTGAATATTATGTTTAGTAGCTAATTAAGTACGTGACTTAATTTTGGAATGCTACACTTTAAAATAAGCATAATATTCTAATTGTCCATGGTCTAATATTATTAATCTGGGACATTAATAATTAATAGACCATTATGTGGATTAACTGATGACTATATTCCACTAGTCATGGGTATAGAGATATCAAGTTAATAACATAGATGCTTGTTAGTGAACAAGTTCATTGGACAGACCCAACTTGAGGACACTGGTAGGTTATATGTCATCAGTGTTGTCCTCAATAATGATGAGGTGCTATATTCTTATACTTGAGATAATCATGATTACTTGCATGCGAATTAATATGTATTAACACCATTAAATATTATTTTTAAATGGGTAATTATAAAGGTGGTGATTGTACATATTATGAACCATGTAGTGGTGTGTGAATTATCAAGATAGTTTTTGTCACTCTCGTATAGCGAGAGAAAGATATCTATTGGGCCCCTTGACAAGTAAGATTAATTAGCATGGCCATGCTCAAATGAGGTGTCATTTGTTCAAAATTAATCTTACTTGGTAATCAAGAAATATTAATTGAGAATAACAAGGATGACATGACCTAACCTTGTCTCAATTAAGATATCGTTTGAAAAAAAAAATTATTAGCACAAATTAATCATTAAAAGGTTATGTCAGATTTAATTGACATTTATATATTTTGGATAGTCATAATGCCTTGCTAGAGGCCGCTTATGATTTGTGAGGCTTGAATTAATTTTTTAGCCCACTGCCAATAATATATAAACCTACAGGGTCACACACCTAAGTGATTTGGATCATTAATGTTCGTTAATAACATTAAAATAGCCTGATTAGCCCAATTCGAAATAGGGTTTCGAATGGTATTGGGCTAGGGCCTCTTGGAGGGGTTTATTAGCTATAAAACTCCTTCTTTCCTCCTCTTATAAATAGGGCTTGTAGACCCACGAATTTTAAGAGTTAAAATTCACTTCTAAAACCTAGAGTAGAGAGGAAGAGAGAAGAGAACGCTAGCACGTTCCCTGCGGCCGATCCAATCACGTGAGTGTGGATACCGGTAGAGCTCGGGATCGTTTTCTCGGACTGTCTGACATCCTTGATTATGATTGCTATGTAAGTCCCTCTTATATCTTTTAATTTCGTTTATAGTAAGAACCTCAGATCCGGTTGTTTACTTTTGGGCAGTATTTTTTTGTTTATTCCGCTGCGTTTTTCTGTCTGAAACCCAACACTATCTTCTTCTTGATATCATTAAGAGATTTCTCATCATCAAGTAATGCCACTTGGTTTTGAGATCTCTTAGCTTCAATATCTTCACAAAAAGCCTGCGACATAGCCAATTCCTGAGATTGTTTTTCAGAAGGAACCCTATCAGCAACAGTCGAGCATGTCTGATCAAATCATTCAAATGTTTGTGCCCTTTCAAAGAAATGCTTCACTCTCGTCTTCAACATGGAAAGGTCAATGTCCTCCTTCTCCATCAAGATAACACAATTCTCAATACTCTCCCGAAGAGATGAGACGTTCTCTGCTGTAGCCCGTCCTAACTTTTGTTGAATGCCACTCCAAGTATTAATGATGAACTGCTTATACAAAGTAAAGAAGTAGTCTTCTGCATGGAATACAGATGCAGCCGGTTTCACATGAGAAGACTTGGGTATTTCATGGATCAGAACTTCTTTGCAATGACTTGGTCCGGTTTCTGCTATCAATCCAGCGATGGTGTCATGATCTGCGCTTTCTCCTTCACTTGAGCTAGATGAAGAAACTTGATTCGAGGAACTAGCATCATGAAGGACTGCATGAATCTGCAAAAAAAATATAAGTACACGCTTTAAATAAAACTATGAAATGATGAAACTAACCTTCAGTGGCCCAAGATGAGGTTTCCTAAAATGTTTCCAGTTCCTCTCATCGGTACTCTGCCTTTCATTGGCAGGAGACATTTCCTTCTCAGAATCCTTAATCAAAACATCAACCCTAGGTGCTACAAGCTTAGCCTTTTTCTGAGGCAAAGACTTAGCTTCAGTATCAAGCATTTTCTTCTTCTTGGAGATTGGAGTCACAGGATCTGAAGGGGTGATCACATCGCCAACCGCAAGATCGCAAATCTTGATCAAGTCGCTCACATGATTCTCCAAATAACTTCCATGAACTTGACCCCACCATTCTTTATACTGCAATGAATAAAATTTCGCTAGAATAGTAGGGGGAGTCGGAAATACAGCTTCAGCTTGTGACATGTCGTGCTCAAACTGTAGCCAAAGCTGAAAGCCAGCAGCAAGTGTGACACTCCGATTATGCATCTCAAGAAAGCCAGAAGCATAAGCCTGAAAATACCCAAATTGGCGACTAAAGCGGTGAGGAGTGTAAGGCTCAGCAATGCAATGATCCCGGTAGCGTAATACAAAATAATTAGACCGAAGACTCCTAAAAAGCGCCAACTCAACCTCTGGAGGATTTTTACCATCGAAGAATGAATATTCTTTGATTCTCCGATGTGAAGAACACACCCATGCTGATACATCTCCCTGGAAAAATCGTTTGCGCGCACTTCTCTTCTCGAGGGATCTCGCTCCACTTTCTCCTGAATAAGAAATCATTAATGGCGTCGTGGACGGGATCTCATTCTTAAAATGCTTATCAAAGTATGATGCCAACCATCCATAGACATAGTGAACGGGAAAACACGTTCTAACTTGATCAGGAGCTGGAGCATTCGAGATCCGATTAAGCCCATGATAGACACTTGCAAGAACCGGGACCGCAAGGCATACACGTTTCCCTCGAGCCAACATACAAGCAACTCTGAATGTTTCTGGGCGGATAACTCTAGGACCTTCATGCGGCAATACAAATGCACAAAGCCAACACGATAAAAATGCCGCTAAATATACCTCTTCCTCATATTCAGCAGGAACCTTGAGTACGTGGAAAGGTACCTTCATAGAAGTCGACCATCCTCCAAATTTTGGAATAGCTCCGCTAGGATTATGGGTCGCCTTGGCACGAGATGTTCGTTTCTTCTCTGTTCTCACTGGAGGCATAGTATACTTGGAGGTCTTTCTGAACCAGAATTTGACCCACGCATGAACACGCAAAACACGCTTATCTCCGGCTTTGGGAAAGAGATGATGATATGCTTGAAACAAATATTTGCAGAGATGAAGTGAACGGTCGGCACTCGTATTTAACAACTCAGAAGTGCCCGGAATAGATTCATCATACGCGTCTCCTATGATAGGCAATCCTCCGATAACGTGCAAGTCCCAAAGTGTGATCGTCAATTCGCCAATTGACGTAAGCAAAGTATTCGTCGTGGGACACCATGCCTCACAAAATGCTTGAATAGCATTAGTACATCGGTCATACGTGAATAATGAGGCATAAACAACATCGTAAATAAGCCCTTCCTCCAGAACGCTTTTACTCATGCTCAAAATATCCTCGGCCGAGTCCCAATAACCTGTGATGAATCTAAACTCACCACCAAATGATAAGGTCTTTGTCAAAGGGACGTTTTCATCAAGGATGCGTCTACCCAAAGAAGGAAGAATCTCAGAAGAGGACATGTGAGTAAAGCCAGATACTAAAGTCCGCATTGTCTGAGCTTGATACTCGCACTCAGGAGTCTAGTTTGTAACTCGATAGGACACAACCGTTGGACCCCAAAACTCGCGAGCAAATGGCTTGTGCATCTCCAAAAGAATCTCTTCGTCATTCTTCTTGCTCGTTGATATGGGGAGATACTTTTTGCCTCCACGCCTTACGTCCCTAAAATATATCATTTAGGACTGCAAAAAAAATCATTATTCTTATTATTATTACTAAAAAAACTAAAATAATAATAATAATAATAATAATAAAAAGGCCGCTCAGCAATGATAATCAATCTCAAGCCCGAGCAATTTCATCTTCCGCCTAGACGAGCAAAGAAATCAATAACACTGGCCAACAATTAGTCAAGCTCCTTCAGAATGGACAAAGGTCAAAAGTAGCGGCAACATCTCAGTCTTCAACAGATGCAATTAGCCGAATTCTCTAGATTGGTGCCACTAGCCCAACGAAGGGCCTCAAGTGACACCGATGATCGGTAATTAGACTAATTCTTTAGATCGGTGCCACTAACCCAACAAAGGGCCCCAAGTGACACCGATGATCGGTAATCAGACCAATTCTTTAGATCGGTGCCACTAACCCAATGAAGGGCCCCAAGCGACACCGATGACCGGCAATCGAACCAATTCTTTAGTCGGTGCCACTAACCCAACGAAGGGCCCCAAGCGACATCGACAACCGACAATAGGCTTAACTCCTTCCTCTTCAACAAGTGACACCACGTTCAAATCACTTCAAGTAGCAAAGAAATCAGGCCTCGTTATTATTAAATAGCTCCACTTGTGGAATACAGCCCAAGCCTTTAAAAATGGGAAGGCTTAAATTCTGGATAGGCCCAATATTTATTAAAAACAGTTCAGGTTCCCATTCCATTGGTCGTCTTCACGCAGCATCAAGCAATCGATCGTGCCTTTCTCAATCCTCGCCAAAAACGCAACAAACACCACCATCAGCTTCATCCGCAACGGCAAAGCATCAGCGAACTCCGCAGGCTGCAGCAACAGCAGAGCATCGGCCTCCCGTCATCTTCTCCGGCATCAACTCGAATTCTGGCCGGCAACTTCTCACAGCGATGACAACACTCCGGTTCTTCTCTCTCCGGCAAATTAGGACGTCGACTCTTCCAGGATTTTTCTTCTGTTAGCCAGCAACTAACCAGAGCAATCGGTAGCCACCCTCCATGAAATCTCGTTAACTGCTCACCCTCAGAAATAAATTGACTTTGAGTTGCGGCACCAACAAACTCTCTGGCCGGAAGCATCTCTACCTGAAACTCTCCCCTACAATTTGATAGAGAGAAAAGAGAAGGGCGGGAAAAAGAAAAAAAATAAGAGCCAATATACCTTTTGATTTGCTTTGGCTGAGCCGATTTCTCCTTCTGAAGCTTCTAAGTAAAAAAAAATTGTTATTCGAAGTTAAATGCAGAAAGCAAATTTTGGGTTCTATTTATAGACGGTAATAAAAGTTAGATCCGATTTATGTGCTATAGAATTCAAGTCTGGATAGAAGTTCGTTTTGAGTTGGAGGATTTGATTCATATTTGGAAACATGTGAGGAAAGAATCGGGTAGTATTCCTATGTATATTGAATAGTTGGGCTGAGTGGGATAATGAAGAGGTCTTTTAAATTTAATTCTTGGACTCCTCCCAAGTCCCAACTACGAAGTATTACTCTATGTACAATTTGATTTCTCTTTGAGCTAGTAGGAATATTTGGTAATGAAGAAATTGAGTTGTGAGTGAACACGTGATTTGGACCGATCAATGTTTTCTATTTTTTTTAGAAGTTGGCTGCCTTATTTCAAGCATAAGTATATTCTGATATTAAGTCGAGACTCACTTTTCACTCATTGAAAAGAACGTTCAAGTAAGTCTCGAGGGGGCATTTGTAGACATCTAAAATTATTGGGCCGGTTCTGATAGTCATTGGGCCTTTTCAAACGGTATCGAGCTACTATTGACCTTATTGGGCCTCTTTTAGATGCTATTGGATCGAACTCAAGTATAACGGGCTGCTCATAAAGTTCTGAGAAAATATTAATATGGATCTGTTCGAATAAAATTTAATTAATTCAGAACATTTCATATCCAATTAATTTAATTCTTTGAAAAGAATGGACCGGTCCTATTAAATTCTTTATTTTGAGCCCATTATTAAATAGTAGCCCAATGAATAAGAATCATGATCCAATTGATAAAGAGAGCAATGAATATGGTTAAGAAATCCATCCGTATGCATGGAAAATGGCTACGAACCTTGTTAAAAAGGCTGTCCAGATACATCGAACAAGTGCTGATTTTTCTGGCTATTAAATGCAAGCAAATAGAGCCCAAACCCCATTTTATTTGAGGCCCCAAGGGATATGGACGAATTTCCAAAACCCTAGAGCATATTTTCACCCCCTCCACACTTATAAATAGGGGTCTCAGTTGAGAGGAAGGGAGAGAGAATTTTCAGACGAAGAAACATTGCAGAAAAGCTCTCAAGAACACTACCGAAAGGCTCTGAACGATTCTGAAGAAGAGGAATAGATTAAGCCACGAATTTTATTAAGAATATACGAATAATTCTTCGTGATTTCGTCGATTCTTAATAAAATAAATCCAAAAGTTGAAGAACGTTCGAAGATCTGAAGAACGAAGCTTGAAGATTCGAAGATCTGAAGAACAAGACTTTGAAGATTCGAAGATATGAAGAACGAATCTTTGAAGATTTGAAGAGACTCATATGAAGCTTGAATTGAAATTCAATTGATGATCAAACCACATATCCCGGGACGCCCTTAAACAAAACATCAAGCCATAAAACGGCCCTTTTGTTGAAGATTAAGCCACTTGAAAACCGGAGGCCCTTCAAGTTGAATTCTTAATTCAAGAAGATTTGAAGATCCGGCGAACGAAGATTCGAAGATTCGATGATCTCAAGAACGGAGATTTGAAGATCTGAAGAACGTTCGAACGTTTAAAAGATTAAAGATTAATTTTGAATTAATTTCCTTAATTTTGAATTAATTTCAAATTGCAAGTGAAGAATCAGATGATTCATATTTAGAGATTGTACCCAATATTCTCACATATTATTATTTGCGATCAATTTTAAGTAAATACTTAAAATTTGTTTCACACTAATCATAAAGTTAATACTCTGTGTTAAAAAGTGACGAGCATCACATCAATTTAAATGAAATTGCCCAACCCAAGACTAAAACGCAAACGTTGTACTATAAGAAATTCTAAATTGGAATAGATACGATTTTCTCTTCTCAAAATAACGAATGAAATGATTCCGAAATGAAGCAATAGGAATATAGTCCTTATTATCAAAATAGGAGTAATTTATACTCCCTTTTGCTATTCGATCTACCCTCTTTCTATAATCCCCAACTGGATTTATTTTATAATAATAAAATGATAATTTTATTCGAAAAAAAAGAATAAAAAAATCTAATATTTATAAATTTATATTAAAATCTTAAAAAAATAAAAAAAATAACATATTAAAATTAACATTAACAAATAAGAAAATAAAAAACCGAAATAATAATAAATAAATGATAAATAAATAAATAAATAAAACATATAAAAAATGTGTGCCAGTACGCTTTATATATATAGTAGTATTCATGTCCGGCCAGGCCAGACAGGAGTGTGGTCCGGTCACCTCAATTTGAGGTGATTTCTGGTTGTATTTTCGGTTGATTTTTTTTGTGTATGCTCTTCATCAAGTCTAGTTCATACATACCGAATTTGAGCAACAAATTCAACCGCGACGGTCATCAAATGATTTTTGAAAGATAACTGCGTCAGAATATACGTATAAAACGCGGTTATCTTTTTAAAAATCATTTGACAATGTGGACATATAAAAATTATTGAGCCAAATGCGGTAATCATTGGACTTCTTTAAATGCTACCACGCTATTTTACACTTATTGGGCCTCTTGTAAATGCTATCGGACCAATCTCAGATTCTATTGGGCTCATGATGGTTATTTGGCCTGATCAAAAAGAAAATATTAATATAGGTTCATTCGGATATAATTTAATGATAAAATTAATTCGGGTCACTAAAATATCGAATTAATTTAATTATAAATTGAATCTTTAAAAAGAGTGGACCGGTCCGGTAAGCTCAATTCAGTCCCTGAATTAAAAAAAGGGTCAATTCGCAACCTGAACCCGCAAAAAAAGGTTCAAATTTTATTTTTTACAGGTAAACAACCGGTAAAACAGGTCCAATTCGCTCTCTTAAACTATTAAAAAATGTCAAAATTGCAATAAATCGAACATAAAAAATAGAAACAATAAGAAAATGAGAATTTGCCCAAAATGGGACTAAATGAGGTTTGGAATTTCAAAGTAGGACTACTATGTTTTTCTTCCTGAAATAGGAGTTTTTATTGCCATGTATGAAAAATACTGGCATGATTGAAAAACACTGTCAATAATTATAATAAGTACTGTCATGTTAAATGCATTGTACCGCTAATATTTGACAGTGACGCCTACAAGATGACAGTAAATACACTTGTGTTAGTCCTATTTCGGGAATAAAAAACATGATAATCCTATTTTGGAATTCCAAACTCCATTTACTCATATTTTGTAAAATCTCCCTAAAAAATTAAAAAAATGACCGGTCATTTACCTGTAAAAAATGAAATTTGAACCACTTTTTGTCATTTCGGAGTGCAAATTGAACCTTTTTTAGTTCAGAAGTTGAATTGAGCTTACACGATCGACCGGTACATGGGCCTATTTAACTCTTTAGCATATATATATATATATATATATATATATATATATATATATATATATATATATATATATATATATATATATATATATATATATATATATATATAGGGAAGAGTTCAAATGAAAAGTGGTCTTCCCGTACAAAGTGCAAAGTTTTCACTTTTTCATGTTTCGCTTGCACTTTTTGTTGTTTGCGTTGCACTTTTTGGCCAATTTGATTTTGGCCAAATTCGGCCATAATGACGGTGGCAGTTTTGTAAATAAACCAATTTTTTGAGCTATCGCGAAAAAGTGCAACGAAAGCAAGAAAAAGTGCAAGCGAAACATGAAAAAGTGTAAACTTTTCACTTTGCACGTTAAAACCTCTTTTTATTTGAATCATCCTATATATATATATATATATGTATATATGTATATATGCATCAGATATAGGGTCGGGTTCTAATGAGAAGACATCTTAACGTGAGAAGTGAGAAGTTACACATTTACCTATTTCTGATGCACTTTTTTGATATTTTGATGCACTTTTTGCGGTAGCAGAAAAGTTCTGATTAATTACGGAAATGCCACCGCGTCTAGCATCACTTTTTTAATATATTTTGCACTTTCCCGTGCACTTTTTTGCTAATCTGATGCACAGATCTTAAAATGAACGCACCAGATGCATTCTCACTTCTTACGATAAGACATCTTCTCATTTGATCCTTATTCTATGTATATATATATATATGTATATATGTATATATATGTATATATGTATATATATGTATATGTATATATATGTATATATATATATATGTATATATATATATATGTATATATATATATATATATATATATATATATATATATATATATATATATATATGGGTTAGTTCATCTGTTCATGTGAGAACACCCTCTTAGGAGAGGAAAAAAGAATGATATCCAATCTTTGATTCTTTCAATCTAATGGCCTAGGAATTATCGAAAAGGATGTTGATGGTGCATAATTTTCGGACCACTTTGATTGTAAATATGACAACAAAGTAACTCAATATTTACTAAGGACACAATTGTAAAATCCAACCATGTAGTTATCATGCGTGAATCATCAAAATAGGAAGATATCCCTATAAAATAGGTGATAATTAACAATACGTAACTACCTCAATTTATTCTAATAAATAAATTGCGGTTTCAAATTTCCTTCCAAGATTACGTTCCTAGCTATTCTCTCACATTGAAATCCACCGCACTAAATAATTTTATAAAACTCTATTGAATTATTATTATATTGTTTATTCATTTTATTTTAAGATATAATATTTCATTGGTTGTATATCTGCACTACGACGTTGAATAAGTACACTTATGTTCAAAATTTTATGCAACATTTATTCTAATAATTACTTCTTTTTATTTGATTAATTTCCTTCCAAAATTATTGTTTTCTCAAATTATTATTGGGTTAGTAATTTGAAAAAAAATCAACCTTCAAGTAGTGCATTAGTGTATTTGTCATTTTCAACAACTTTTCTAATGAAATATTCGGTCAATCAGATGAACCTAAGTTTGTCAATTTGCACTCCATCAGTGTAGAGGTGCACTTTTAGTCAGAACTGTATGCAACATCAATTTAATAAAAGATTTGGTCATTGATATGCACATTTGTGTCATTAGCTTACACTTTCTATAACATTGTGATGCACTTTAAGAATGCATCTTTGCTATTCCACACAATTTTAGATAAAAATGATTCAAATAAAATGAAACAACACATACAATGATTTGAACTCAATATTAAATATAATGTGCATTTGAAACATACACACAAGTGCAGTATTGTATTACTCTTTCTGAAGTTCTACATGACACTTCTTACAAAATGAAACGCACTTTTATGATGTGCACTTTAAATACATACATAATTTCACTATTATATAACTTTCTCTACAATTATGCAAAATACAGTGCAGTAGTTTCATTTGTGTGGTATTTAATTAGCATCCTTTGATGGTTGACCTGCATACTCTATTCCATATTTTCCATGCATAGCATCTGCATGATAAACAATTAAAACTCTAATTGTCACATAATCATATAGCACAAAATTTACATTAAGAGAAATTTACCATACCTGTGACTAAAAAGAGATGTTTTTCCTAATATATGACTAAGTGAAGTTTTATTCGTATTCTATCACCCTCACATGATCATCCATTAGTCTTTTGATGTTAAGTCAAAACAAAACCGTATTCTCATACATTCAATAGTAGTCATATAAGTGTAAATGTAGTTTTCTAGTCATATTATGGGAAACCACACATGTTTTAGTAATATTTCCATAATTCTCTCTCTAAGATTTAGTTCTCACATGAATCTAAATCTTTATATATACTCCTTCCGTCCCAGAAAATTCTTCCCACTTTGACTTGGCACGAAGATTAAGAAAATTGAATAAAGTGGAAATGTGTGGTTGTAGTTATATAAGAAAACAATGAAATGAATGTAAAACATACAAATTATCCAAAAATGGTAAGTGAAGAGAATTTTTTGGAACGACCCAAAAGTGAGAAGAATTTTATGGAAGAGGTAATATATATAATGCACATTACATTTCAATAATTTTTGAACTGATTTTTTAATTGAATTTTAAGCGTGAAACTTTGCCTAAAAAGGAGGGAGGGTTTCACAAGGTCTGCGCACGACGGAGGGATACGGAGGGGAGGGTTTCACAAGGTCGGCGCACGACGATTGACTGGTTGAGCGCCTCTACTGCTACTCGACCGTGGAGGCGTGGACGGTGGACAACGAACAACCTCCTGAGCCTCGACTCAAAAATCTCAATTGCTCTGCGCCATTTCAGTTTGCGAGGCTGTGACATGGAGATGGGGCGGCTCCCTTAGGTTACGAAGGGGAGAATCCCCATTGGTGAATCTCATCACCTGGTCGGAAATTTAAACTGGAGGGGACACCATAGGGCCGAGGGAGAGTACAACAGTTCACCGGGATTTCGTTGCAGAGCAGAAATGGTTGCCCAGTACGAGCTGGTCGCCGATTTCATTCCGACGAACTTGGGGTATTCGGATAGCCAGTCAGGGCCAAGCAGATTTCAAGATTTTCACCGATTCAGTTTCTAGGGGTGCTCCTTCCAAGCTTAATTATAAACATACCGCAACAATGGGATGGCAACCAGGGAAATTTGCAAGTTTTGAGAAGAGAGTTAAATCTGATAGTGGATGGAGAGTCTGGAATGAGCTCAAACAGCACAAGGAAGACACCAAACAGGTTAGAGAAGTGGTCGGACCAGATTCAACTACCATAGGTCATCAGAAACGTCTTCATATTGAAAGTAAAAAAAATTATTTTGAGATTGAATCTTTAATGCTAAAAATCGGTCAAATCAAGGAGGATCATAAGTTCATAACGTTTCTATTATTCTTGAGAAGGATCGAAAGATTACTAGGTACGAGACCTTTAAAAAATTAACTCTTTTAACACATATATATCCAGTAGCAAAATTGGTTGATTTATTCGTGAATGAATGCAAAAATGGTTTAAAGAGCGTCGTGATTCAGCGCATTAAACTATCATTAGTTTAACAAATCAATATATCTTTTAATCCTTCCCAAAAATAATAGAAACGTTATGAACACATATATATAAGGATTGTATTATCATTACTCTAACAAATCAATATATCATTTAAAATTAAATTTGAATGCATTCATTTATATTAACAATGTTATTAATGTCATTTCTAATGTCAATGTCGTTCAAATGTCAATGTCATTGTCAATGCTATTTCATTGCCATTGTTATGTTATTGGAACGCAAATGTCAATGTTATACCATTGTCAACGACAATGGCAATGGCAATGCCATTTTTAAGACATTGGTGAAGAAAATAATATAAATGACCTATTTTTCTGTAATTAGTATGTAATTCGCTTTTATTGTCAAAAATCTCCTCAGCAACAATCTTAGTAGAAGGCTTTTGAGCAAGCACCACCTTGTGATCCTTGGAACTGCATTCTTTTTGTTATTAATAACTTTGCACATTTTCTCCCTTGATAATGCAGGGAATGTTTCAAATGCCCAAATCTGAATGGCAAACATATACCCAGAAAAATTGTATCTTCCTTTGTGTGATTTTGACATGTTTTTTGCACATTTGTCAACATTATCAACAAAGTCCTTCCACACATCCTCACCCCATGCATATGAATTAAATTTGTCCAGATCATTGACCAAATTAGCATAAGCCAGTGACATTGTAATGGACGTCTAATTCCCTAGAAGTAGATTCGATAGAACATACAATAACATCAGTTTTACCTAGGAATGGTTCAGTACGATATTCCGAATATTTTCTCTCATACCTTTGTCGTACCGAAACTTTCAGTATACAAAATTTATATACCGTTACCTTACTGAAGTTTCGGTATACCGCATTTCGGTATACCGAAGTTTCGGTTCGGTAACGGTACGGTATCGGTAAATTACCATGCATGCCCCCCAATACAAAAAATTATCAGACTAACAAAATATAATAAATCAGTGTACTAACGACATATTTAATCCATTATTAAAATGTTACAAAATACAATTAATAATCTATTGATGTCATATTCAATATCGAACAATAATTATTATTAGTATATATAAGCAGTTCAGCATATTTAAATAACTTGAACAATATAGATATAATTAAATGAATAGTGATCACTAACAAAAATAAATAAAATTATTCAAACAACATGGATATAAAATCATTTATCCATAATATGGTATTGTGTATTTAGTCTTTTTTTATAATTTTAAATAAAATATTTGAATAAGACTTTCGAACAAAGTTCTGTGCCCCGACTTATGGAATCTCTATGTCGATACACTCGTCACATAAGTGTATCCCTCTTCACTCGTCAGCTACTTAGCGGCTCAGCCATCGCGACTCGCAAGCTTATGGAACAAGATGGACAGTCTGGATATTTGTACATTACTCATTAGTCATTAGGATTTGTTTGTTTGAATGTTACGTAGTAGAAGCCTAGAAGGTTATAGTGGGTTTGGGAAATTGGGCCTTATTTTTGTATTTTTGTATTTGTAACCAACATAAGTATTAATTTTGGGCTTCCAACTTGTAATGGACTTTTATAATATTTTAGAATTTATAGTAATCACTGGGTGGGAGTCGGTACGGTATTATACCGGTATACCGTGGTATTTGAAAAAATTTATCGTTATTGTACTGAAATATATCGGTACGGTATCATACCGTACCGAAAATGACGGTATACCGATATTTCGGTATTTTCCGGTATTTTTCGGTACGGTAAGTGTTGTATACCGATTTTTCGGTATTTTTGCCCAGCCCTAGTTTTACCCCCATCATTTGGCCTTGCATTACTGTCCTCTCTGTTGAAATTTTTGAATGCCCTTCCAACATCACCTTTGTACAGTGACCTCTTCTTATTTTGCTGGAAGTATCTGCTCCAAATATCACCTTCTTCAGAGTTCAATTTCTTTGTCACCAATTAATCTTAAATTTGTTATCGAACTTGTCTTTGCTGAAACTGACAAGTTTGTTTTGTATATGAAATACAAGCATGTCTTTAACGACATTGCCATTTATTTCATTGACATTGCTTCCAACTGATTCTGTTATTGGATTGCTTAAGACGAAACTTAATGAGGAAGAACTCAATAACTTCAAAAAACAGCATTCGTAAGCATCTGGACATTGTTGATATTAAATGGATAAGGGGCCAACTGCTGATATACCTAGTTGGATGCAATGTCAGTGAAATAAATGACAATGTCGGTAAAGACATGCTTGTATTTCATATACAAAACAGACTTGTCAGTTTCAGCAAAGACAAGTTCTGTATGATAACATGTTTAAGTTTTATTGGTGACAAAGAAATTGAAAACTCTGAAGAAGGTGATATTTGGAGCAGATACTTCCAGCAAAACAAGAAGAGGTCACTGTATAGAGGTGATGTTGGAAGGGCATTCAAAAATTTTAACAGAGAGGACAGTAATGCAAGGCCAAGTGATGGGGTAAAACTGACGCTATTGTATGTTCTATCAAATCAGCTTTTGGGGAATTAGACATCATTATAATGTCATTGGCTTATGCTAATTTGGTGAATGATCTGGATAAATTTAATTCATATGCATGGGGTGAGGATGTGTGGAAGGACCTTGTTGATAATGTTGGCAAATGTGCAAAAAATATGTCAAAATCACACAAAGGAAGATACAATTTTCGTGTGTATATGTTTGTCATTCAGATTTGGGCATTTGAAACATTCCCTGCATTATCAAGGGAGAAAATGTGCAAAGTTATTAATAACAAAAATGATGCAGTTCCAAGGTTCACAAAGTGGTGCTTGCTCAAAAAGCCTTCTGCTAAGATTGTTGCTAAGGAGATTTTTAACAATAAAAAGGTAATTACATACTAATTACGGAAAAATAGATCATTTATATTATTTGTTCACCAATGTCTTAAAAACGTCATTGTCATCGACAATGGTATTACATTGCCATTGTCGTTGACAATGATATAACATTGACACTTGCGTTCCAATAACATAACAATGTCAATGACATAGCATTGCTAATGACATTGACATTTGAACGACACAAACATTGCAAATGACATTAATAACATTGTTAATATAAATGAATGCATTTAAATATTTAATTTTAAAAGATATATTGATTTGTTAAACTAATGATAGTACAATCCTTGTATATATGTGTTAATTTTATCATAACGTCTCTATTATTCTTGGGAAGGATTAAAAGATATATTGATTTGTTAAACTAATGATAGTTTAATGCGCTGAATCACGACGCTCTTTAAACCATTTTTGCATTCGTTCATGAATAAAATCAATCAATTTCGCTAATCTCACTCCAATCAAGAATAATAAAGACCTTATTGGGCCTAGACTATTTTTATACCTTATATATATGTGTTGTATCTGTTTTTTTAATGGATATACTTCATTAGATATACTAACATGAATGTAGGGGAAGCTGCTAAGTACCTGAATGTTTAGTCTTCCAAGTGTTGTAAGTTTATAATCAATTACTTCAATACTTTTACCCCGGAAGTGTTTGGCAATTGGTCGTTGGTTGATTCTGTTCGCTGATTACTGAGAGCAGATTCTGTTGACTGTTTTGATTAGCTGATAGTGTTCGAGCTGTTTATAAAATAGTGTTTGGTTAAACGATTGTTTATATTCGACTAATAACTTGTTAAATTACTTTTAAGGACATCAATGAACTTTTTTGTTAATATTATTAGTACAATTACTTAAAAGTTAATTTATGATTTAAAAAATAAAAATCAATGGAAACAAGTACGGAGTAATAATTATTTTAACATTTTTGTATTATTAAATTTAATTAGTATGAGGATAATTTGTTCAATAGATGGAGTTAGTAGTAAAAATATACCAAGTCAAATTACTTTGCCCCAATTACTCAGACAATTTAGAGGCTTAGGGCCCCTTTGGTGAGGCCTAAATTAATTGCTGAGAAAGAGTCAAATAAGGTCTTCTACAATTATAAAATCGTCACATAAGGCCATGCACTCAATAAAGTGTCATATAGATATGTCTACTTATAAAAAACAATCGGATGAGTCCTAACGACCTTTTGAGAATCTCGTAATCTCGGTTTAGTGTACGTCTGACTATCTTTTCAAAATAGATTATAAGGCTGACGGAGAATATTTATCCAAGTTTGGCTTAAAACAAGGCAAAAATAATGACACGTAAGCTAAAATTGAAATTAGGAGGTTGTCAACGGGTCGTTAGGACTCATCTGATTGCTTTTTATAAGTAGACATATTTATATAACAATTTGTTGAGTACATGACCTTATGTGATGATTCTATTATAGTAGAAGACCTTATTTGACCCTTATGTTGAATTGTCTATAAAAATATAATAAAAAATATTAAATAAATGAAAGAATCTTTTCTGAAACATCTAAAAATAGATGGAACATTCGTGTGCAATCACTCGGACTCCAGTGAGCAAAGCCTTGGCAGATCAAAGAAACATAGTACAAAGTATCTGAGTATGTCGTGTGTGTCGGACATCAAAAGAACAATGGAAACATCATAGGTTTGTTATTTCTAAAGGTTTGTTTCTTCTTAATGTGAAAACGTATTGATGGAGTATATGGCCCAGGGACCCCCGGCCCATAGACTCCTACTATCCGAATAAAAACCCAAGAGGCCCAGGAAGCACAGCAGGTCCAAATCGCAGCGCCCCGGGTACCAAGCAACCCATGGGGAGAAAATTCTCCAAATTCTCACAGAAAGGCTATTTTTAGCATACAAAGCTACTGGGAGAAAACGCCAAAAATCAGTAGCCCTCGACACCTGGAGCCCTCGGTCTTAAGAGGCCTTCGACAAGAAGAGCCCTCGGCTAATCATCTACAGCCGAGGGTACCTTCCTTGACAAGAATATCCTCTCCACATGCGCCTGGATCGCCGTACCAAGTACAACGTCACATCCAACCGCCGCATTAAATGCGGCCACATACGAATGCCAGTGACACCCGGTTGATGTGACCCCTCGGCTGTTGGTTGCTTGACATGTGTCCCCGTCTCGCATTTATTGCTATTATAAATAGCGCCCCATTTCCCCTTTGTAAACCATATTCTGAATATGCTGAATTCACACTGAATACATATTCTCTCTCTTACTTGTTTGCTCTAACTTCTCTCTAGTTACTCCCCGCACTAACCCCTCGGATATATACCCCTGGGTACACTATCCATCATTTGGTGCTCTCATTGAGAGGTCAAACAATCAAGTAAGAAAACCTCCCCTTCAGCTAAAAACACCTATTAAAATGGGAAGAACCACCCGTGCTCAGTCCAAGAACCTTGAGGACAACAACCTGGCCCTCGGTGAAGTCAACGCCCCCGGAGCCTTTAACAAGGCTCCCGACGGCTGGGTCATCACTGAGTTGGAACAAGCTGCTGTTGACCTGCGCATTCAGCTCCAACAAAATGCTCCCGATGCCCGCCTCAGCATCGAAACCCGAAGGAGGGACCAGAGCGAAAATCAAGTGAGCCCTCCGGTTCTCACTATCGACGTACAATCGACATTCTCTGCCTTCATCCAGACACTCACTCAAAACCCAGGTGCCTTCGGCACTCTGGTACCCCTTCAACCGCAAGTCGGGGAGAACGCTGTTCTTCTCCCACGACCAGCCCCCTTCGTGAACCCTACCCCTCGGGTGGGGAACGACGAAGGGGTCGTGGCTCAAGACACCGCCTCCCAGGAGGTTCAATCCCGGGACCAGCGTGGTAAAGAAGGGCCCCGGACCTCCGCCCTCGAGAGGCTCAAAGGGGCGCAAGACCGCCGAGGGGTCCAAGACCGCCTCGGGGGGAAGGCGTTCCAAAGACCTCAAGAAAGTGGCAGATCCGTCTCCAGGGAAAATGAAAGGCATCCTCCTCAGGACAAAGGCAATGCACCACTTCATGCCGATGACACCAGGCACCAAATCAATCAGGCCCACTCAGCCCGTGTTCGTTCACGGGGGGCGGAGGCCCTCCTGAAGGATCCCAGGGACGAAGTCATTGCGGCCCTCCAGCGCTGGCTTGATGAGATGGAGGCCCATCGGGTACATAACCCCGCCACCCCTCCACAGGCGGATCCCAAATATGAGGCCATGTTGGCCAAATTGGAGGAAATGCAGAAGAAAATAGCCGAAGGCTCCGAGGAACCCGTCATCCAACTCCGAACTAGAACGCCTTTTACCCCAAGGGTATTGGCGGCCCGAATTCCGGAAAAATACCGGGGGAAACCCATCAAGCCCTATGAAGGAAAGACGGACCCTCAAGAACACTACAACCGCTACCAAAACAGCATGATGATGGTGGGGGCATCGGATGAATATTTGTCCCGTTGGTTCCTCTCCACCTTGGAGGGCCGTCGTACGAATGGTTCAACCGATTGCCCGAAGCCTGTATCGATTCTCGGCAAGAACTCGCCCAACGCTTCTTGACGCAATTTGCGGGAAGGCGCCATTCAAGAAAACATTTCTCCCACTTGCTGACAGTAAGACAAAGGAAGGAGGAGACCCTTCGGGACTTCTTGGAATGTTGGAGGACCGAGGCTGATCAAGTTGATGGCGCTGACGATGGGACCTTCCTGGCCCTCCTTCAATTAGTCCTTCGCCCCGGGAACTTTTCAAGGAGCCTCATCATCGAACCTCCCCGCGATTACATAAGGGCCATGCAGCGGGGGGACCGGTATGCCGAGGCCGAGGAGGTGGAAAAGTGCTATCACAACCCCGATCAGCAACGCCCTCGGCCAGATGACAAGGGTAACCGGGGGCCGGGGGCTCCCCATAATCAATCCAAGGTCTCCGCACCCCCCAGTGATCGCACCCGGCATGGTCAAGCCAAGCCCGGGGGAGGTTACAAGGGAAACCCGAAGGCTTGGGCCCAGCCCATTCTTTTGGAGCACCCTCGGACTCCCTTGACGCACCCCGTCAGTGTCATCCTAGACTTCGCCGAGGAGAGGGGCCTTGTAGAGCGCGACTCTCGCGCACCCCTGGAGGTATACGCCATCAACCCCAATTATCCTTACTGTCGGTTCCACCGCAACCAAAGGCACAACACCGACGACTGCCATCAGCTGAAGACGGCCATTGAAAGATTGATACAGGCAGGCCACCTGTCCCAATTCATCAGAGGCCCTCCGCCTCAGGGGACCCCTTAAGAAAGCAAACGCGTGGGTCAACCCAAACACCATCCCCCTCGGTGACCCGAAGGGTAAGAAAAGGGAGATTGGAAACCTCAATGAGGAGGAGGGGCACGTCCAATACTAGGAGAAAAAGCGCCACATCCATATAATCACTGGAGGCAACACAGGGGGGACTCCACCAGCCAGCGGAAGAAGTGGGCTCAATCGCTATACGTGGGGGAAGTCACTCATATGCCCCCGGTAAAGCGGCTGAGGGAGGAACCCATCACCTTCACCAACGTCGATCTCCCCCCGGCTTCCTCTCCGCACAGGGATGCCCTCGTCATCCGTACGGAGATCGATGACACCATCATCCACCGAACTTACATTGACACGGGCAACTCCGTCAATGTAATGTACTTCAGCACATTCAGAGAGCTGTATCTGGAGAGGGGGTCCCTTCGGCCCATCAAGACCCCTCTCGCCGGCTTCACCGGAGACACCATTGATTCTGAGGGGGTCATTATCCTCTCGGTACTATTCGGCGACGGGCTCCATAGAGCCAAGCTCGAAGTGGAGTTTGTCATCGTCAACATCGACTGCGCCCACAACATCATCCTCGGCAGACCAGCCCTCGAGAACCTCGAAGCCATCATCTCCATGAGGCATATGTGCCTCAAGTTCCCCGCCGAAGGAGGCATCGGGTACTCCAGGGGGAATCAAAAACTTGCCCGCGCTTGCTACCTTCAAGTGACAAAGAAGGTTAGTAAGACTGAGTTCCGCGTTGACACCATCACCGGAACCATGGAGGAAGAAGAGAAAAGGCCGAGCGCTGAGCCCGCCGAGAAAGTATAAGACTTCGCACTCGATCCGACCAAGCCGGAGAGGGTTGTGAAGATTGGAGCCAAGCTCCCCGAAGACCTGAAGACCGGCATAACTGAAGCCCTCCGCGCCTACTCCATTGTTTTTGCATGGGGGCCGGAGGATATGCCCGGAATCAGCCGAAGGATCATCACCCACCGCCTCTCGGTGGACCCTTCGGTCAAACCTGTACAACAGCGAAGAAGACCCCTCTCGGCCGAGAGGAGGGATTTTTTGAAGAAGGAGGTCGCCATGCTCCTCTCCATCAAGCACATCAAGGAGGTAAAATACCCCTCATGGCTGGCTAACGTAGTCCTCGCACAAAAGCCGCCCACCTTCCGCATGTGCGTAAACTACACTGATTTAAACAGGGCGTGCCCCATGGACCCCTTCCCCCTACCTAATATTGATCAACTGGTGGATGAGACCGTGGGGTGCGAGATTATGTCCTTCCTCGATTGTAACACCCCCAATTTGTAACACCCCCAAATTTTCCACCCAAAACGTTGATATAATTGAAATAAAACTTTTATTTATTGATAATGAAAATTTAAAGAAAGTACAGCGGAAGTCTTAATAAGGGAAATGAGTGTTACCGCCACATCCGGTCATCTCTCAACCGGATGCACATGCAACTAAAACATAACAACTAATTTAATAAAATAAAGTGTTTGTAAAGTAAATGTTTATTTCATGACTAGTATAACTAAGGCGACTTCTAATTCGCTCTCGGGCCATGCAAGCGATC